CCATCAGAGGTGATCCCCCTAACAACTGTGTCGTAAAATCAAAGTTAAAAGTGTGTGTGACAGCACAGTTGAATGTGTTTTCTGATAAATGCTCCAAGAGGGGATTCATACCATGTTTGCCAAGTAGTAAAACATTACTGCGAGGGTCCAGCAGAGGTCATGGTGCTTGTGGCACTGGACTCCCACATGGCTGACCATGGTTTGAGTCCTGGACCTAGTGGCCTGAAAATCATGCCAGGCACATGTGCATACGTGCCCAAAATCCTGAGAGGAGAATGGAGAAGGGATTGTGGTGTGGCCATCCCCCCTGCCCCGAGGGTGATTTCTCACTTTCCTTTTCTCTGTCTCTCTCTCTCTCTTCCTCTCTCTGGCGAGTGCATGCACCCTATGGCAAAAACAAAAACAAAACAAAACAAAAACTTTAAAAATAATAATAATACATATATATTTTATATAGTTTTAAATACTTAAATATATATATGTGTGTATATATATGCTAAACACTGCTGGTATAGATTTTAATTTTGTGTCACAGATTTGTTGGGAGAACAAATGTGTTAATAAAGCAAGGAAATAAAGCAAATTCTTTGTGAAGGATACTTTATTAATTGCTCCTTTGCCACAGAGTTTTCAAGAAGAGTTTGTGACAGGACTCATCAAGATCTCAAGGAAGATGCTAGCACAAGGAGGCACCGTGCGGGATTTGTTGTTCAAGAATTAGAAGAGACGGGATATTCTGAGGGAATGGGGATGCATCCAAAACCTGGCAGGTGATTATTAGGAAGTTAGAAAGGAAGAAAAGCACAGGACCTAAAGATTTTTAAATCTTCACACTTTTGAAACCTTATGTACTTAACAAATACGTCCATTTGAGTTAGAAACTTAAAGGGATACACAGGACGGGGCTAGATGGTGGCAGAGCAGTAGAACACACGCTCCCTGAGGCTGACTCACATGGGAAGGTTCCAGGTCTACATCCAGAGACCTCCCTGAGTGCACCAGGTCCCCACCTGCCATAATCTCAGTATCACCGGTCTGTGGGAGTGCTGTCTGTCTGTCTCTCTCTCTCTTCCTCTCTCTCTCCCTCTCTCTCTCACTCATGGAGGAAATAAACTTTTGGGGGAAAAAAGAATATGATGAACATGAGGAAAAGAAGAAATTAATATTGAGTTGCTGATCCTACTTTAGGCACACCGCACGTCAGAGCCCCTGTCTTCCCTCTTAGCCCAGAGCTTCCAATCCACAGTAGTTCTGTGACATCCGAAAGATTTTCTCTAGCGAGAACCTCAGATTTATTGCTGCACTTCACCTCACTCTACTTCAGAAGAGATTTAAAGTAAAGTGGTGAAGGTAACAGCTGATCAGTCAACAGTCTTTTTCACTGACTTCCACTCCTGACCCACCCATTAGAACCTGTCTCTGTTTAACTTACAACACTCAATGGAAAAAGCCTCCTGCGGGACCAGCAGTTAGCGTATTGGCTATGTCGCTGGACTCCCATGTAGTCAACCGCGGTTCGAGTCCCAGACTCGGTGGCTTAAACTCACGCTGGGTGCTTGTGCGTGCGTGTGCGTGCATGCCCAAGATCTTGAGAGTAGAATGGCAGAGAAGGGATTGCAGTATGACCATCCCCCCCGGGGGGGTGATTTCTCACTTTCTCTCTCTCTCTGTCTTTCTGGCAAGCGCATGCGCCCTATAGCAAAAGCCTCTCCCAAAAAGAAAAAGCCTCCCACCACATTCAAAACAGCATGACAGTCATAGTAACAGTTCCCCTTCATACACAAGGCACCCTATTCTTTGCCTTGGTGACATTATTTCCTTTAACCCTTTCTACGTTCCTGTCCCATTTTATAGTTAGAATAACTAAGGCTCAGAGAGGGGAGACAGTCAAGATTCGGGCCAGTAAGTGAGATGAGAAAGTCCTAGTCACCTGACTTCACAAATTACAGTCTTGGTTTTTTAAGATCATGTTACTTCAGTTAAAGAATAAGAAGCAGATCACCCTTGTCAGCAAATTCTGAACTCTTCGCCCCGAGCTGGACGTGGTCTTTTCCAGTTCTACCTCAGCCTCATAGACTTTTCAGTTTGTTTGTTTTTAGTTTCATTATAGGGAGCACGTGCTCACCAGAGAGAGAGAGAAACCCCGCCCCAGGCGGGATGGCTACGCCAGTCACTTCTCCTCCACCCTCCTCTCGGGATTTTGGACAGGCACATTCACGCCCAGCTTGATTTTCTTTTTTTTTTTTAAAGAATTATTTATTTTTAATTTTATTTATTCGTTGACTTATTTTATTTTGACCAGAGAGAGAGAGAGAGTATGAGAAAGCAAGCCACCAGGTCCAAGGCTTGAACCATGGTCGGCCATGTGGGAATGTCCAGCACCTTAACTACCACGCCTCCTGCTGGTCCCCCCAGCTTGATTTTCAAGCCTCCAGGTCTGGGATTCGAACCACTGCAACATTAAGGCACTGGGATCCAGCACCTTAACCTCCAGGCCCCCACCTGCCATCGCCCCAGTCTCATAGGTTTGATCTTGGACCATCGGAGCAGGTTCTTGCCTAGAGAGGCGTTTCTCATTTCTCTAAGGGCTTACTGGGTCCCTCGGGGAGCTCACCACACCTTTCTCTCCCTCTGCCTGAGGAAAAGCCTAAGCACTGGTGGGACCACTGCCTGAGGCTCAGGACTGTGGCCCCAGCTGCCCAACGTGTGACAGCCATATGCTGGGACCTGGTGTCACCCCTTCCCAGTCTGACCTTCAGCAGTTTAATCACTCGTACAGAAAGCACATTCAAAAGTGTATCTGAGGGCTGGCAGGTGGCATGGTGGTTAAAGGCACTGGATTCCCATATGGCCAACTATGGTTCAAGTCCTGGACCTGGTGACTTGCTTTCTCACTCTCTCTTTCTCTGACTCTGTCTAGTCAACTTAAAAAATAACAAATGGAATTAAATAAATATATATTTTTTTAATAATAAAAAGTGTATCTGAAGGTCACCCTCTGAAGGTCAAAAAGTCTCCTCTTGGGATTTTGAGCACATGCACACATGTGCCCAGCATGATTTTCAAACCACTGGTCCCGGGACTCGAACGGTACCATCAACCATGTGGGATTCAGCACCTTAACCTCCATGCTACCTGCTGGCCCTTGCTTCTGTGTTTAAATCAACAGGTTTCTCCTGCCTTGCTCAAATACCTGAATGTACGACTTACTTAGTTTCTTTTTTCTGAGCTCAAAACCAGTGGGGAAGATTTAACTGGCCCTAGGACTCAAAAGTGGGAAGGCAACCAAGTGGGCGCTATGGAGGGGGACACTCCAGAGGACCTGTGTGCAGAGGGCTATCCTGTAAGGGAACGGAGCAGCTCCGAAACAGGGCCACTTCCCAGCAGGCTCGGGGAAAGAGGAATGGCTCTCTGTGTGTCTCAGCAAATCGATTTCATTTGATTTTCAGACAGAACTTCAAAACCTCTAATTCCATATGCTCACCTTTGCATGAGGAAGTTCATTTCACAAATCGTTTCAGAAGAGCCAGGGGGACCAGCAGTTAGCGTAATGGCTATGTCGCTGAACTCCCACGTAGCTGACCACAGTTCGAGTCCTAGATCCAGTGGCTTAAACTCACGCCGGGCGTGTGTGCGTGCGTGCGTGCGTGCCCAAGATCCCAAGAGGAGAATGGAGGAGACAGGATTGCGGCATGGCCATCCCCGCTGGGGGGTGATTTCTCGCTTTCTATCTCTCTATCTCTCTCTGTCTTTCTGGCGAGCGTACACACCCTATAGCAGAAAAAAAAAAAAAAAAGAAGAGAAGAAGAAGAAGAACCAGGAACCCGGCAGCTTCTCTACTTCACTGAGCAAGGATTGGTACTAAATTCTTCAAGAGTCCAGACCACCTGCCTGTGTGGACTCCGAGCCCAGGGTCAGAACAGAGTTGTGTTCTGTGCACAGCCAGCCACCAAACCTCCTGGCAGGTTGGGGAGCGTGTAGTTCCGGCCAGCAGATGGGCTGCCATGATTTGCACTCATAACACTAACCCAGCACAGCCGAGGTGGCGAAGCCTATAGCATACTGGACTGCAGTGCTGGAAGCCACACGTTCAGCCAGGGCTCGGAAACCCAGGTCAGCCTAAACAGGCACCCAAGATTCTAGGAGTTAGAGGGCTGGGGAAGGGATCATGGCATTCTGGGACCCTGCCAGGGGTGGTGTGCTCCCTCCCTCCCTCTTTCTCTCTCCCTCTCTCTCTCACATGCAAGTAATGGTACCACCCACATTTTAATAGATCAGTTACAACGTTGTGCCTCAGGTCATGTGCCTGGGTATCATGGTATGAAAGGTCAAGAAGAATTTGACAGGTGGGAGTAGTGTTCCCGCAGAGCTAGGTCCTACTGCACATTCTTTTCCAGCTGTGGCTGGTCCAGGAAAGGAAGGGAGGGCAGGAACCCATGGACAGCTAAGCACCTTGCACTCCCGCCCTACTTCTGGAACACTGCGTTACTCAGCCGAGCGCTGACACGAAGCATTTGCTGGCTGAGTGGGACGTTAGGGCTTTCACTTATTTGTGATGGACAGCATCGTGATCTCTGCCACGTGTGCTGAATTTCAAGGCACTGTCCCAAATCATTCTTAAAGACTGCTGGAAGCTTCTTGGGAGGTCCTTGGTTTTTCCTATTAACCAGTCCCAATTGTGGGGAGAAACTCTCTCCCCTCCCTCTGTCTCTTGCCAGTCCTGCCCCCTGCTCGTTGGTATAATTCAACCTCAGTGTGATTAATACATGCCCATCACCACCGGCTTTGCATTTCAGGGAAAATAATGCTAGCTCTGAACCAGCCCAACATGTGAGGCCACATCTGTAGCCAGAGACCCGCCTGGGGGCGCGAGAGCGTTAGGAACGAGGCACGTCGGCTGCCCGGCCTGCAGCCTCCCTGCGTGCGATGTCCTGAGCGTGTGGTCTGCAGGTCGTGGATTTTGTTGACGGTATGACTGACCATGTGGCTCCCCCCTGCAGTTTCTTGCCCAGCTGAAGCTCATGGACTACAGCCTCCTGGTGGGAATCCACGATGTGGAGAGAGCAGAGCAAGAGGAGGTGGAGTGTGAGGAGAACGACGGGGAGGAGGAGGGGGAGAGCGACGGCACCCACCCGGTGGGGACCCCTCCTGACAGTCCTGGAAACACGCTGAACAGCTCGCCACCCTTGGCTCCGGGGGAGTTCGATCCCAGCATCGATGTATACGGAATCAAATGCCATGAAAGTAAGCCTGGTTACTGTCGATTGCCCCGCCACGTGATTGGGTCGATTACTCTTTATTGTGACTCGTTACAAGTGTGTTACCCAGCAGAATTTATTCTTCAGAGTCCAGATAGAGTCCCTGGGGATAAAAGTATGTTAAAGATAACTGTCATCTGTGATTTTTAAAATGCAATGTGATTATTGGGACTAGCAGATGGCAAAATGGTTACGTCGCTGGACTCCCACGTAGTCAACTGCACTTTAAGTCCCAGACTCAGTGGCTTAAAACTCAGGCCGGATGGGAACCAGCAGTTAACATAATGGCTATGTCACTGGACTCCCACGTAGTCGACCATGGTTCGCGTCCCAGGCCTGGTGGCTTAAAACTCACGCCGGGTGCATGTGCGTGCGTGCCCAAGATCCTGAGAGGAGAATGGAAGAGAAGGGATTGCGGTGTGACCATCCCCCCTGGGGGGTGATTTCTCGCTTTCTGTCTCCATGTCTCTCTCTGTCTGTCTGACGAGCACACGCGCCCTATAGCGAAAACCTCTCCAA